AGCCTGTGCTGAACCCAATATTCCTCCTCCCGATCTGGACAGTGCCTGCCCCTGCCTTACCTGGACCAACCCAGAGGCCCGGGACCTGTTTCATTTCTGCTCGCTCCTTGCTGCCAATGTTGGGTCACCTCTTCAGGAAGCCCTCTGTAACTACTTCCTTCCTCTTCCTCAGAACCCGGAGATTCCCTGGATGTTCTGGGGTTTTCCCTGGATGTGGAGGATCCCCAAGAAGGCAGGGGGCACATTTGAGGTGCCCTGCACATTCCCACTATAGAGTGGTCACCCATGCCACTTACTGTGACAAGGACCATGAGCCTAGCTAGCACTGTTGTGTGTGGGGGTGCGATGTGGGAGACTCGAGGTCAGAGCAGCTGTCGAGGCTCAAGAAGCGCCAGCCAGGTGGCCTCAGTCTGTGCATGGGTGGGACAGGTGGAATCTCAGTTTTGGCAGCCCTGGGGAGGCGTGGAGGAGGCAGTGGGACGGCATGACTGAGGGGCCAATCTTCATGACGGCAGGGATGTCACACAAGGCTCCCGTAAGAAGCCGTGTCTCCTCCCGCACAGCGGGGCTGTCTGCTAGAAAACAGCTCGCTCATTTGAACTTTCAAGCAGGAAGTGTGTGCCCGGAACACAGGCCAACTCCGTCCCTGCCCTCAGGGAGCCACCACATTGATTCTTAAAAGTCAACACGTGAACAAAGAAGTACAGAAATGTGCCGGGGGAGGGGCAGTGTCATAAGGAGATGCGTGGTGGGGGTCCCAGGGGTGTCAGCACGGTGGGCAGGATACACTGTCTCAAGGGGCTTTGGCTGAGATCTGAAGGACAGGAAGCAGTCACAGCTTAGACAGATGTCACACACACACGGCCTCGAGGAGGGCTTCGGAATTTGGGGCTATCAGGGAAGGGAGGCAGGAGTGGGGGGGCCGGGGGCTTAAGGGGTCATGCAAAGGCCAGGGGACAGTGGCCACTGAGCCAGGAGGGTGAGGGGCTTGAGGCTGAGATGTGCCTGGAGGGATGGACAGCGGTCAGGGCAGGCTACTGCTCTCAAATGTCCCTGGAGGGAACACAGCACTGTGTGTAAAACTCGCACCTCAGAGGCTGGGCAGTGCCACAGCCTTTCTTCTCCTAATCTGGGGAGAAACAGCCCCAGAGGGCCTGCTAGGAGCTTCCAGAGAGACAGAGCTGTCTGCCATCGGGAAAGAGTGATCTGCTGCCTGCCTCCTCGGAGATGGGAGAAAGCTGGACTGTCACTGTGGGCCGCAATGAATGACTTCCTGCTCAGAGCGGATTCCAAGGGTGTGTGTCATCTCACCCAGGACTGGTCACAGGGTGGGGGGCCTCGCGCTCCTGATCCCCCACCGGAACTCCTCCAAACACCAGTCCCCCACCCCAAGCTGCGAGCAAATGTGCTACTCATCAAGTCTCTCTCTCCTCTTACATAAAGACCCAGAAGGAAAATGATCAGAATTTAGTGTCACGCACAGCCCTGTCTCTCCCGATAACACAGTTCACTTTCTTTGGTCAGAAAACAGGAACCACAGAGCAATCATAATTTGATTTTTGCTTTGGTTGCCAAGAAACCTGGGGTCAAGCATAGGTACTGTAATTATATCACTCCACGTTTCCGGCACAATTATTCCCATCTCAACTGCTTCCTGAAAATGTTAAATGACATTTTAAGAAATTAAAAACAAAAATTTCAGTTATCGAACACAATATCCATTTGTTTTCATTTTTCTTTCTAATGCTTAGCCGCATGAGTACTGCTTTCACACAGTCAGAATTACACACTCACACTCAGTTTTGTTTTCTCTACTTTCACATGATATTAGGTCAAAGGCACCATATGTCTTCTGTGGTGCTCGGTGGGCCCGTTCAACAATATTAGCATCTCATCAAATCACTGAACATTGGTACACCAAGAACGGGCTAGTGCTGGACATTGCGGTTTTTCCTCTAGATTTTCTCTCTTATGAAAATTCAGTTGTGATAATAAATGAGTAAAAGTTATGAAACAAGTCACACAAAGAGAAATACAAATGGCTCATGGCATAGGAGAAATGTTCAGTCAAGACTTCATGGAAATGGCCCACGCTGACCAATGTTACCCAGGGCTGGAGGAGAGGAGAGACTTTGGCCATTTCTAGCTGCACCCTCTTTCAGGGCGTCCCTGCTAGGAGTGATGTGATACGGCCCAGCCCGAGAAGTACACAGCTTCCACCACGCCACGATTTCCAACACTGCAGAACGGAAATGGCTGCAGCGTCCACAGAGCCATGGCTAAGAAGGAATGCATGCAACCTTCATAGGGTCCATTCATGAGGTGCACATGGGAGCTGCCGTGAGATCAGACCTCGGGGAGAAACAGAAGCTTAGGTACAAAGCAGCTTTCAGATAATTCTGGGGTGGGAGTCACAGCAAGTCAATTCAAACCCCAGGGCTGCCTATCTCTAATCATGAGACTCCTGATTCAGAGACAAGGGACTCAGTTACTTCCTCTCAGAGTGGGAGCAGGAGTTTCAGTGCCACAAGGCTGGCACCAGCTCCCTGAGCCTCCCGCCTCCCAAGAGCCTCCCAAGTCCCATCATGGCGCGCGCACACACACACACACACACACACACACACACACACACACGGGAGACTGCATTACTCAGGGAACTCAGGGCTTTAAGATGTGGCCTAAATAACAAGGACAGATCCCAAAGCCAGAGTCCATTCAGGAGTGGCACTGCAGTGGGCACACAAATACTGTGGTCAACTCTGAGCATATTTAAGGAGTTGGAGGCAAGGGGAAGTTTTTAAAGGCAAAATGAGAAAAATTACTCATGTTATTAGAAATGACAACCCCTGGCTACAAGGATCAGTGACAGGAGTGGGACAGGCATTGTTGCAGATGTCCTTGCAGAAGTATTTTCTGTGCAAGGCTGTGGCTGTGGCACAGTCTCCTATGACAGTTGCTGGTGTCATGCAGGCACAGGCAAGATCACCTCCTTCACACTCTCAGCCGTGCCTGTTATTTTTCCCAGAATCTGACATGAGTGACTCCATTTGGATTCTGACAACTTTCACAGAGAATTTACCACATTTAGGGTAAACTCCAGCCCCCGAGGTTGCTTGCTGCAGACATAACCAGGAGACATTGGGGGACAGAGTGGCCAGGACTTTACATTTTGGCCACACTGGGCAAGAATGTATGGAACACACAGGGCTGGGAGAAGATGGCCTCTCCCCACCCAGTGTGGCTCTCCTTAACTGCAAGCGTCTCAGGACTTTGGTCTTCCCCTGTGCCCTGAGGGCCAAGATCCATCCAGAACTGGAGAAGGCCTCAAGTCAGCCCGGAAGCGGAAGGCGGTGTCTGAGGAGTCCCTGAAAGCAGGCTGGTCCATCCCTTGCATTCTGCAGAGAGGGAGACAGAGGCCCAGAAAGGGACTTGCCCATGGCCAAGCAGAGAGCGAGGAAGAGACCAGGATGCTGTCATCCCAATCATAGTGTCTGACAGTGAGCAAACTACTGCTTTCCCTTGGGGAGCCCTGCCACATGTATTAAGGTGTCTTTCCAGGCTCACAGCCAAGTACAGTCCCACCTCTGGTCCCACATGCAGGAAGGACAGGAGGAGCAGGAGGGGTGCTGTCCTTCCCACTCTGCTTGGCCAGGTGCCGGGAGGCCTCCTTACCAAGGAGGCAGCCAGCCAGCCGGCCCCTCTCAGCAGCTTTCCTGGGCTCTCTGTAAACCTAAGTCAGCCCTTGAGGTGTCTTGTGGAGGAAGTTAGCATGCCATCTTTTTAATTTAAATTTGACGTTCACTCAGAAACGGACAGCTGGGCACATGACACACATGTAATCCTAGCTACCGGGACTAGAAGGAGGAGGCTGAGGCCGAAGGATTGCTCAAGCCCAGGCGTTTGAAGCCAGCTTGGGCAACAGAGACTCCATCTCCGAGGAAAGAAGGGAGGAGAAAAAGGCACCTTTCATAGGCAAATAGCCTGATATATTAGTAAGGAATTGTGGCTCCTGACCCTTTCAGAGCCCACCGCAGTCCCCTGCCAATTGCGGGCAGGTCCCACTTGGAAGCTGTGACCAACAGAGCCACTTGGAACACAGTGTCTTTGGCTGTACACGCGTGTGCATTTCTGCAGGCACAATTCTAGGAGTACAAGGGCGCTCTCACCACCTCTTCATTCAGGGAAGTGGAGCTTTCTACGGCCTGGCCCGGGGCTCCAGGCCATCTCTCCCTGTACTGGCTATTTTGGGGTCTTGTTTTTAAGTGGATCTCCGTGCTCCCCAGACTCATCCTCTGTGCCCCGGTCTGGCTACAGCCTGCATCTCTGCACCAACCACCACCAAGACCTCCAGGGGCAAAGCTGTTTCAAGTCTGGGCTTCATGGCACCTACAGGAGTTGGGGTGACAGTTTGGGCCACAGCCTCGCCTGCCTGGCAGCCGTGAAAGGAGGTGCTCCGATTTCAGCCCAGAAGGCCTGGGTCAGCTCAGAGCTGCCCGGCCTGACCACAAGCACGCGGAGGGTTCGGGGCCTGCCAACCCTGCCCCCCCCCAGCAGGACCGTCGAGGTGCTGGGTCGCGCGGGGGTCAGGGTCCT